TATCAGCTCACAAAGGATATTAAAGATGTGTCACGTTCGGGGATATCAAGAAAAACAACGTTGGAAGAAGATCATTATATATTGTTTAGACGTCACGGCGAAATCGATTTTTGTTCTGTCGCGGGTTGGCTAATCATCTAAAATATTCTATTGGACAGGACAGTGCGCAATAGAATTAACGCTGCCAAACTCCATCATGGACGACGACCTCATGTAGGGATACTGTTAACACGACGTTAGTGACAGGATCGTGTCGCTTGTGCTAGACTTCACCATAGATGGAATTGTTCACAGTGTAAATTTATAATGTTCTTTCTACTGACGAATCAAGATTTAATCTTTTCTTTCCTCACTGAAGGTTACTTGTATAGAAGTTTAAGGGCGAGCGTTTTGATCCGGAAAATGTCACACAACGCGATCGTGACGGTCGGGTCGCGTGATAATATGGGTGGGACTTTGTCAGCGTGGTAAAACTGAACTGATTACAGTTGCCAGAAACTTTACTACCTTGCAATATTGTGACGACATGGTTGAGCCAGTTGTTTTACCGTTTCTGTTACAACATGCGCGACTTTTGCAACAAGGTAACGCCTGTCCTTACACTGTCAGATACACACAGAATGTGCTCAGGCGTAACAACATTGCTGTTCTTTGATGTACATCCAGACCGCCACACCTTTCACCAATTGAACATATGTGGAACCATCTTGGGCGTAAGTTTAGTGAGCGTAATGTCGTCATCACCGTACGTGATCTTATGCAAGCATTGCACGAGAAATGAGTCAGAACACCTCTACATGTTCGAAAACTTATCGACAGCATGAGACGACGATGTGCTGCTGTACTTGCTGTTAGCGAATGACATATTAACACATTTTTGTGAGTTTTCCCTTAGATCCCTGCCATTTTTGATTAACATGATGCAGAGGATTAACTGACTGTTTTTTATTTACTTGTTGACTTTCAAATGAAATTAAAAGCTTGAAGATGTAAGTAACTGCGCTTTTGTTCACTTTAGAATATTATTATTATACGAATTGCTAAACATGTGAGAAACTTGTTTTTCATGATTAATAGGTAATATTTAATGAATTGGACAATCTGAATATTTCTAAATGTTAAAATTTGCACTTATAGTTATTCATATGAACCTTCTCTTCTCAGAAATTCAGAAATTTAGTTTTATTATTTGAAAACATTCTATTCCATTTATTTGACAGATAACTACTTGGAAAAAACCTTCACGCCTCTATTGAACGAGGAGGAATTGTTTAACCAAAACCCTAACATTACGCTCGTACTCGTATTATATGGTTATCTACGAAAGCCTAATAGTGTTTAAAAAAATAAAAATGCAAAGGCGTTATAACGCGAATAAAGGCGTTATTACCCGATCCATAAGGCGTAATTACGCAAATCACAAAGAGTAATAACGCGAAAAAAGCGTAGAAACGCAAATAGAGGCGAATAAAGGCGTTATAACGCGAATCAACAGGCGTAATAACGCACATAAAGGCGTTATAACGAGAATCAAAAGGCGTATGACGCACATATAAAATAAGATAAGATAAGATAAGATATAAGAAAAGAAAAGAAATTCATTTACTATAGTGACATGTGTAAAATCAATGATGTGATACATGTGAATTCAGAGTAACTGTATTTACGTCCAGTCCAATGGACCAATAAGTCTCAAAGTCACCTTATATTTGCAAATATTATATAGAGTAATCATTAGTTTATGACAAATAATTTGCATTAGTACTGTGCAGATGGAATTATAGTTATTGTAAATGTATATTATATTATTCTATACGTGTTTATATCTTGAGCAATAAATTCATATCAATTGTGGTCTTCCTTTCTTGCGTTAGTAGGCAATTTGATTAGTATAAATTTGGTATTAAATTGGCATTATAATGTGTTTTAATTTGAGTTTTTACGCCTTTTTGTTCGCGTTACTACGCCTTGTTCGCGTTACTACGCCTTTTGATTTGCGTTATTACGCCTTTTGTTTCGCCTTATAATGCGAATAAAGGCGCTATTACGCCTTTTGATTCGCGTTATAACGCTTTTATTCGCGTTATTACGCCATTTGATTTGCGTTATAACGCCTTTATTCGCAATATTACGCCTTTTGATTCGCGTTATAACGCCTTTATTCGCGTTATTACGCCTTTTGATTCGCGTTATAACGCCTTTATTCGCGTTATTACGCCTTTTGAATCGCGTAATTATGTCTTTATTCGGGTTATAACGCCTTTGCATTTTTATTTTTTTATTTTATTTGACACTATTAGGCTTTCGTAGTTATCATAATGTTGTTGGGTATAATACTTAAGTTCACTAGACGAGTACACCTCTGTCAAAGAGGTGCTAGCAAATACCTCACGGTAATAAAAATTAGTCAATTAGGGGTGAAATGTTTTAGTAAGTTGTCATGAAAAAGGAAAATTGTTATTTAAAGGTTTATACTACGTTTTAGAGTGTTTGTTGTTGTTGTTGTTGTTGTTGTTTAAGCATGCAAAAATTCAGAATTATGACAAAACATATCATTGCTAAAAATATTGTTTTATTTTTTAATTTGTATTTTACTATGAATTGTGTGGGTCTTGTGCGAAATTTTGTTTTTCACTGCTTACCTTGTTCATCTTCAATGATTGCATCGTCTTCTAATTCTGAAATGTTCAAAATGAAATATCAATAAAAACCAAAGTAAGCAAAATTATCCGAATAGTTTAAAAATATTGTAAACAAGACTTAATTAATACAGCAAGTAACAGAACAAAACTGTTTACATGGGTCGTCAAAATTGTTTTAATAATAGTATTGATACGAAAAGAAGCCAACTATTTGTTTTACTGTAAATCACTGTACGTTATTGTTATAGTTTTTCTCTTTGTATATGTGTTTGCGCGTGCATGCGTGTGTGAACGTTTGTGTGTTGTGTGTACGTGTGTGCGTGTTTCCTTCTGTTGTTTTATTGATGTTGTTTTTCTATGTTTATTTTTCTGAGTTTGTGTTTTTGCTTTTGTTGTTTATTGTTGTTTACAAAGTAGTAATAGCATAAAATTAATTTGTTAAACAAAGTATAAAAGTAAAAACGGAAACAATTAGAATCTACTTTTCTTGTGGTTTTCCATATTCGTGTTTTCTTGTGTTCCTGTTGTAAATTCTGTTAATATTTTTTTTCACATAACATATTACCGTACAAATAATATTATGCTGTCTTCACAAAACTAAAAGCACAAGAAATCATTATAATGCAAAAATGTAATACATGTTTCAGCAAAAAAAAAAGAAAGAAACAATATTTACCGTCCGGCATATCAGTGATAGTTGTTGTATATGGCGTTGCGGTCGACATTTCAACTGAAGAGTTTGATGTTTGTGTAGGTACATTTGATGTGGTTTGTGGTGTAGGATCCTCCGTCGATGAAAAATTACCACTGTTAACCCACGTTATAATGCATAAACAAATCAACACGTGCTTCACGTGAAAAGTCATTTTCGTGCTATATTTTCACTTAGTTTTGTCACAATAATATCAGGTAAGTTGAACATCCATAATTGTTCAATGCTGTTCGAAAGAAAGCATAAAACTTACTGAGATGAAAATGTATAAAAGAATGAGTTGGTAAATATATATACCCGATTATCATAAATCAAAGACCATTGGTAAACAAGGTTGATATGCTCGTCAACTAGTTTCCGATAAGAACATTTACAATTTCAACAGTTATCGACAAGTTCGATTGTAACGGCATGAAATCAGATTACGTCAAATGGCTTTGAAATGTGATGGCAGAGAATTTAGTCCGCCTTACCAAAAACGCAGCAGCGGAATGACAGTAATTGTTGACAACAAATACGAAAGCTCGAATCCCGGCTTTATAAGTGACTTTCCCAGAGGATTTTGTTGTCGACAGTTTATTTGATGTCATTTGTGTTGCAACGCTATCATAAATTGTTTACCAAAAGACATGTTTCACACTCTCTAAAGGTGACTGTCCGCTGGTGTATGACTGCAGTTCTATAAACAGGGCGAAACAAAATAGTTCATATTTGTTCCTATTCGTTTACACATAGATAGGATAAGGACTTTGAGAGATAATTTTGTTGATTGAGTGATGTAGTAAGTGAGTTAGTGAGCGAGTGAGAATGAATGAATGAATGAATGAATGAATGAATGAATGAATGAATGAATGAATGAACGAACGAACGAACGAACGAACGAACGAACGAACGAACGAACGAACGAACGAACGAATCGTAGTAATTGTGACTTCTGTTGTTTTTATTTTTGATATTTTTTGTAAAATAGATGTAGGGGTTGGGGTTAGGGGTTAAAGTGTCATTTCTACGTTGATTCCCATAACAATTATCTTTGAATAATAAGCAATCGTTAGACTTTTTCTTATCTCATTTTTTTTATTAGTTTTTTTTTTTTTTTTTTTTTTTTTTTTTTTTTTTTTTTTTTTTTTTTTTTTTGTGAAAAAATAAATAATTGAAATATCAAGGCACCAAAATAAATGTATATTGTCGAACTTACTTGAAAGCTTATTCAAATTACTTATTTTGCAAAATCATAAGATATACACTCAAGTTTCTGTTTTTCGGTATTTCGCTAGTATCAGATTGTTGGGGGGGGGGGTGTGTTTTTGTTTTCTTTCTTTTTTTTTTTGCTCGTTTGTTTGTTTTTGGTCTTCTTCTTGTTGTTTATGTTGTTGTTGTTGTTTTAGAAGATGTATATATGTACTATCAATGCCAATTTTCATTTTTGTTTCCATTACATCGTTTGTTAAGCTGCTGAATTATCTCATGTTACTTGCTGTAATGAGTTTAAATGTTGGTGTGACTTATAGGCCCAAGGGGCCGGGTGCTAGTTTAACTTTGTAGATATTAGTTTGTATTTTACGAAATGCACATGCCACTATAAATAAACTATTTACTTACAAACTTACTATACATTTAACGGAGACTTTCATAAAATTGAATAACGTTGATTTTACACCTTCAAGACGTTAAATGTGTATTACCCGTTACGTTACGTAATTATCAACGAGCTGTACGTAACGTTACGAGAGGTAAACGACTAGACGTGGTGTATTTCCGTGATGTGAGACGTTATAAGGGTGGGAATGAAATTTGTGTTCGATGTCAATTGGAACTTTTATCCGAGTTGGTAAGTGAAATAATTGTTTATATTTATGTATTTAATTTACATTTTCCTCTGTTGCTTGTATGGTCTTTAGTAGTTGTGTAGTAGAAAGAAAATGCTGATGCGCATTCTCCCCTATGTTCTGCGTTCCAGTTTTATATTATTTTAACTCATTGACACGCGAGTGTTCCTGATATAAAAAAAGCAAAAACCCTTGCGTTGCTGAGCAGAGATCAACATTTATCAAAATGTAACATGCATATTGTATCTTAAAGTCCATGTAAGTTTCGCGTGATCAAGTTAAACGTTTAATGTAGCAATCACATGACCAATTTTATCATTCTAAATGACCGAGATTATTGATTGATTAAATGAATAAACTAAATGTAGACAAAATGCGCAGTGGTTCACATTTTCCAAAAATGAAAATTAAAACGCATGTAGCTCTATAATTTTGAAGCTCCATATTTGAATAAATCCGGGTCTTTTGGGTTGTTTTTTTTTTTCAGTTCATGAAATAAACCTAACACGTGTTGTTTCTTATTCTGAATTTGAATTAAAAGTCTGTGTCTTTTTTACAATTAAAAAATGCAACAAATAAAAAGTTTTATATATGTTTCGTAAAATCAATTATCGTACATCTTGTATTTGATCTTGTAAAATTATAGAAAAATAAGGGTTGGGGTTTTCTGTTGTGGTCAGTTATATAATTTTCATAAATTATCGCTCTTTCTTCACGGAACTAAAATATAAAATCTTAATGTGGCCCTGATATGTATTTTTTAAATTATTTTCAGATCATTAATAGTGAAGAACGCAATTTCTCTATATACTGGTTATTGACTTAGTTTATGCCATATATTTGCACCGACTGACATATAAACATGTAGATCTATACGTTAACTCTCGTCATTAACTACGTCGCTATAAACATGTACATCTAAAAATTAACGTAAAGTTTTTTTGCGTTTTTAAAGCCTGCCATAGTTTGATAAGGTAATTTGTCACTCGTTTAAAGTTTTCTTTTATACAGGTTTTTTATTGTTGTTGTTTTTGGGCGTTTTTTTGTTGTTTTTTGTTGTTTTTGTTTTTTTGTTGTTTTTTTTTGTTTTTTTTGCTATGTTCATACATAAAATGGCAAACATAGATCAAAAGGTATTTCATCGGAATGACTTTTCATTCAAAGTCCTTTTGACATTCTCAATTCTTGGAAATTTTTTACTCGTCTTGGAAGTGTTTAATCTAACGTTGCTAGAACTTGTTGCCCGTGTTCTTTTTGTTATGATTTCATCAATTGTATAATATTTTACATGTATTCCATGCAATAAGATATGTTTAAACGTTTAAACTAATTGTACGAAAAAAGGTTGTTGAAGATGTCAAAGCATTTATCTTTAGTACTCGAACGTTATACATATAAATTTATCAGACATTTTAAACTCCCAGCATAATGATTAAACGGATAAATTAAATATCAATATAAACATTTTGTTTAAAATTTCCTGTCCAAGGAAAAACATCCCAAGGCTGTCCGAACTATTTACGGTCACTTCCGCGTTCAATACACAAAACTGTCAATATGGACAGTCAATGGTCAATTAAATTTAATGTAATCTCCGGACCTGTCGAAAAACCGCCGGCTATTTCCACAATTGTCGGAAATGTAACTTATCCTAGAGAAAAACATAAAAATTTATACAATATTTATATACTTGTTTATCAACATATTCACAAGTGAAAACACTTAATTAAAGAAAGTGAGATATAAATCTGTTTCCCGCCACAGTTAGATATATACTATATCAACATGCATATACATAAACAGTTTTCAGCTCAAAGTAATAAAATTAACTTAGAAAAATGAAAGAAAAAATGATATGAAACTTAATTTAAGACAAAACTTAGAGTATGCTTTTAATCGCTTAATTCTACTCTCTTACATGATATAGTAGTATGTAATTTACATGATGAAGAAAGGCTGGCCCAAATATCACAAACTGGAATGTACTTTCTGCACCAAAAAATATCGGACCTAAATTTTGCCACTAAATTTAAGTCTTCCCTGATATATATAATCATTGGACTTTAACAATTATTTTCATACTTTTATAAAAACGTCAAACGATTGTTTTTGTCTAAATCTCTTTAGAATGGAACAAATGGTAAGTAAATCTTTGTTAACGAACCCCTGTGCTCGCCTATTTTGTTTTAAAATTGGACTTTTCGATATCGATACTGACAATTAATAAATCTTAACTTGTTTTCATAACGAAATAAAACGAAAAAGCTACAAAGCTTTCAATACACGTGAAAGTAATGTGACATAAAAGGGCAATGCACTTAAAAACAGTATCTGTTCCGAATTGCTGTATTCAGCGATTTCACAGGGTTACTCGAACCTTCAGATTTTCTTCCTAGTTTGTTATCACAAATCGTAATTTATATTCATACTGAACTGATGTATGTATGTGCGTACATAAACAAAGTAATTTACTTAGCTTGTCTTATCATACAATAAATAAACTAGATGAATATACGCATTAATTTAGTTCAAGTATATCATATAGGATATGTTTGAAATCTGGTGCGTGTAAACATACCCCACATTGATAGAAAAAAAAGACTTGCTAGAACATCAGGGAATGACCTCTAATAATAATGTTTCTGAAGGACCCGACAGATTGGTTTCTCATTTATTCTTTGATCCGATAAAAAAAAGACGACAGATAGCAGATGATTTATTTTCATCACTAGAACCCCTGTTAAAATTTGGGACGAAGACCTTTATATTTGCACTTAATATATACATTTATAAGTACATATTACGGTCTAGCACGGAATGCTAAAGTGTTTTCAAAAGATATATGATGCTGAACATGTAGCGAGTCATTCTCATTTCAAAAATCTGGAGAAAAAAAAGAAAAGCCCTTGAGATCAATAAAAACAAGGTTTTAAAGTGAAAATTGAAATTTCAAGTTGCAATTTTGTGAAAATGATTTAAAACCTAAACAAATAAAATTTTTACCACTATCTTTGATCAAAAAAAGGATTCACGAATTAACCAACTTTATCAAGACATTTGTCGCTTTATTTAGCTTTTTTTAGGTAGCATGTCTATGAAATATTGAATTTTACCGATGAAATATACGCAGTATCATTAAGTGCATATCTCTACTTCTAATTGTCATAGCTGCCCATTGACAAGCACTAGATTTATAGAAAACACTTAAAGATATATAATAATATGCTCAGCTTCTAGAACGTGTATGTAAAGTGCAGAATTCTTTAAAAAATAAAAAAAATAACCGATCAAATTTCTTTATTATGTATGATCTTATCTTGAGCATGCTATAATTCTGTGCACATTATAGTAACATTATGCATTGATTCTGTTTCTCTTTTTTTTCTCCTCAGAAATCCACAATACCAGCAATTCACCATGAACACTTCAGTATTGTCTGTGCTCGCACTTTGCTGCATTGTCTCCCTTGCCGTGGCTGATTATGGCGCCTATTATACACCATACTATGGCGCCCAGTCGTCCGGATATGGTGACAACACATGTAAGTATCACACATGATAATTTACGCTGTACAAAATGATTAAAATGTTTTTGTAATAATTCTTAGTGTCCAGCTTTATTTGTAATCCAATGTAAATGCTGTATTTCTTAAAAATTTGTGCGTTAATTTTCATAGAAGAACATAGTCGACTTTTTTTTCATAGTACTTCATAGAACCGCATAGTGACGTAATAAAGTGAATAATAATGAGGGCAAATAAAGCTTGACACTAAGTATGTTAGTATTCATCCTTAGCTGTTCTACAGAAATTAGAAACATTCTCTTGTCGCTATCGCTCCCGTCGAAGTTTCTAATTTCTGTAGAACAGCTCGGAGGAACACTAACATATACTTGGGGTCGCTAGTCGTTACTCCCAATTAATTTCCCCAACTAAACGTATTTAAAATAGAAATAATCAAAATGAGTTTGATCAAATATTGATCTTTATTGAGCATTTGAACTTTTTTTTCCTTTAAAAATTTATGTAGCGTAGATTTTTTAGATACATTAAATTCATTTTCGGTGGCTGTTTGTTTTTACCTTTGGCAACAGTTGTATCATTATATAAATCTATTTTCATATGAAATATTTAACATTTTCCTATTTTTTTTTCAGTATTGATGTTCATTGGAATGCTGGCGATCTTGACCCTTCTGTTCACCACCCTGACACAAAATACCACCAACATCATCAACTTGACCGCTACGGCTTAGGTAAATAGTTAAACGATCCTGATTGACAGATCACAACGATTCATGATTCCGTAGTTATTTTAGACTGGACCAGTAAAATATTAAAAGATGAAATATCGAAAGGCGTCCAGTTCTCAAATTAGTAACACGATATTAACTGAGTGACCAATCGCAACTGTTCGGCCCTTTCCGTCAGTCTTCGAATAAGGATGATAGCCGATAGTGGTCCCAGGTCATAAAATTCGTATTCATCAATTTAGCGTGCATTTATGAATACTGTACAATTGGCACGCGATTTTATAAAGTCATTATACAAAATTTAAACGTAAGGCATTTGTAATAATATATATACTAACAAACATTTATTCTATTATCTTTTCAGAAAATTGGCTCGAATTTTTGGCTGCACTGTGGTTGCAACATTCTGCGTCACACGGCTATTATCATGCAAATTGTCATACTGCATTATCAAACGAAATAAATATTATCATACCTATTTATTGTCTAAAGTTATGCATTCATTGTACATTAGATTAATAAATTTATTTATTCTCTAAACCTCCTTTTTCTTACATGAACGTTTGATTTGACGTTATGATGTTAAAATGACGTCATTATTAAACGTTTTGGCGTCATTGGGGTTTTCAAAAAAGTCCTTTGACATAACTTTCACTAAACTGAGGTTATGGCAGTACCACCTACATTAACTCTTCCCTTAGTCCACATTCCCTGGACCATTCTAGCTTACGAAGCATATCGAGAAAAAGTTCGGCGAAATTTAATCGTTTTTTTTTCTCTTCAGTCTTTGTAAATAAAGTAAATTGATTTGTGTTAAAACGTCTAATAAAATCAGTTTAAAATCAGTCGACTTACACATCATGATCTCTTTTATTGGAGGCCCTTTAACGTTTCCGTAATTTTATATTTCACTCACAAAGATTTGAGAAAGAAAAACGTTTATTTCGCCGAACCTTTTCTCGGTATGCCTTGGCGATAGGTATCTTTCCGTATTTGTAAAACAATACTTGTCTTTAAAAAAGTCTAAGAATGAATTAATTTGTGTTACAAGATCTGATCAAATCGAAAATCAGTCTTCTTACACCTCATGATCGCACTAAATGGTGGCCCTTTCACGTTTCCGTATTCTGCTTTAAAAGTCGCTATTATGATTATTTATCATAAAAAATAGTATTCAGCTTTAAAATACAACATACACTTGTTTCAAACGGCAGTTATATACAGTGTGTTTTAACTATTTAGTACATCAATGTGTCAGAATGATAAACAATTAAATTTCCGGTATCTAGAACTTTTGGTTAGACATAATATACTTTTATACTAGTCAGAAACCCATCTGAAAGCTGCATGCCTCCAGATAAGCAAACTATTTCAATAAAATCAGTCTTGAGAATGTTCTAAGCTTTTACAAAAAGTAAAAGTATTCAAGACATAGTGATAATTCCCATGTTATGTGCGAGTAAGGACCGATTTTGCAGCATTTTCACCATATTTATACTGCGTTACTAACGCAGTAACAGCTATTTTTGTATATTTTGACCGTTTTTTTTATTTTTTTTTTTGTAATTCACATTGGTTATAAGTGCCGTTTGCAATGTGTAAATTATCAAATTTGTTCACTTAACTATATTTTTCGTTTGACTACTTTCTTCAAATGTTCATGAAAGTTAGCAGGAATCTCGAGCGTGCTACTTTAACCATGTCGTAGTGGAGTTCAAAACTGGTCTGAGTAATGGAAAGACTTTCTTTATTATTTAATAAAATTCTATTCTATATCCACAGTGCATGTATTAACCAACCTCTAAAATCAAGTAGAGATTTTTTTTCTAAAAAGTAGTGTTTCTTCAGAGCGTCAGAAAATCGAATCTTTCTTAATTTATACTGGAAATGAGACATATTCTGAGAATTATCAGTTGTACACGGCCATATTTTAGGTAGGATAAACTGAAAAAAGGGCTAGTAAATTCTATAAATATCTTTATTAGGACTCGAGTGCTGAACTTGGTCTGGCGTCTTGCAACGTCACGACACTTCGTCTTGAACCAACGACACTTTTGACATTTTTAATTTATTCTCAGACCGAGCGTTTTTTTAGTGAATGGGAATTTTTAACTCTTGACAACATTACATTTGTCACTAGACATAAGATTTGTGAACGTGCATAACTCACATTACTGAAAATCGACACTTACCTACAGTTAGATGAAGTTTTCTCTTATCTTATTTACATTCAACAGGTCTGTACCCTGTAAATAGCTTTGTTTTTGTGTAAGGTAATAACGTATAAGGTAATGCCAGTTTTTTTTATTTATTTATTTATGTAATGTAATGTTTCGTCGCACCAAACCTGTATATGTCACATGGCTACGTTCCAACTTTACTAGTAGAAGGCGAATGGACCTTCATTCAACTTGCAGAGGTGGTTATCGGGTCATACAAAGTAGCTGTAAGGTGGTTGTCTGAAGGATAGAAACAACTACATTCAAGCTGGAAATAATTTATTCATATGTAGAAGAGACATCATGGTGAAAAATATTCTCTAGCGAGATAACAACATGTATAATCCACGGTAAATATAGTGAAAAATATAACCTGTACAACAATGTACTCAAACGAAAGCATTTGAGCCGCCCTATGACAAAACCAACATAATGTGTTTGCGACCAGCATGGATCCAGACCAGCCTACGCTTCCGCGCAGTCTGATCAGGACCCATGCTGTTCGCTTACAAACAGTATAACAAGTAGATAAACTGATAGCGAACAGCATGGATCCTGATCAGACTGTGCGGATGCGCAGGCTGGTTAGGATCTATGCTGGTCGCAAACCCATTATGTTGGTTATGTCATGACGCGGCTCATTTTATTTTACAGTGGAACAGTTCAAAAAGGTCAATTCTTATATAATGACACAGTTCAAAATGGTCAAAATAAATATATTAAAGCAAAATTAAACAACAATTATATCTCCTTTACTACGTGGCCAACTAAATTTGGTACATGTAAAATAAATTACTTAACTAATCATAAACCAAAAAGCACGCTGCTTTATGATCAATCATTCTGCATTCTGTAAACTTAAAATCCCATTAATCTCTTGTTTTAACCATCAGGAGCAGGTCGTGATTTGCCTCTGTTACAAATACGCTGTGGGTAGTTCATTTATTTTGTATTTTGATATTGATATACTTTAAAGCTTTAGATTGTTTCAAATCTACGGCACAAATGATCAGATTATAGGTTAGCCCACAGGAAAGAAGAAAAAAACATGCATTCCACAGAAATAAGTTAACCTTTCAAACCAAAAAAATCAAATTAACAAAATAATAATTCATTAAATTATCAGTGTTCCCAAAATGTACCTTAACCATAATTTTAATAATCAACTAATGAAAAGAGCACATCACATTATTATATTTCGTGTAAATACCTATGTTTATGTTTTAGCACCATTGCCTTGGCCAATATCCCGAACATTCCTACAAATATTGGCAAAAGAGCATATCATCACAATATTGGCCCAAACGTTCAGCCTATTTTGACTGCAGTATTGAGATACTTTTGACTGGACTTATATTAAACATATTTCAGTATACCTGCTTGGTGAGACAAACTTACTACATCTGCCCAATAAGACAAATGTATTTCTTATATCTGCATATGGTTTCAATACCTGCCTAATGTGACAAATTTATTTCAATATCTGCATAATGTGACAAATTCACTAATGTGGCACCTTCATTTCAACACATGCCTAATGTGGCACCTTCATTTCAATATCTGTCTCATGTGACACATGGTTTTAATATCTGCACAACGTGACATATTCACTAATGTGACACATAGTTTCAACATCTGCCTAATGGTGGCACCTTTATTTCAATATCTGTCTAATGTGACACATTGTGTTAATGTCTCCATAACGTGACATATTCACTAATGTGACACATAGTTTCAACATCTGCCTAATGTTGGCACCTTTATTTCAATATATGTCTAATGTGACACATGGTTTTAATATCTGCATAATGTGACATATTCAAACAATAGATCAGCATGAGTTTAGTTTAATAAATCTGCAAGCATACTCTTCATCAAAGTGAACAGAATTTCCATAGATTTTGTGTAAGCAACAAAATTTATTAAGTTTAACCAATAAGATGTATAATAATTTTCTTTTGTATAACACTATAATTCACAATTTAAGCCAAATCATATTAATTAATGCCCACACAATGTCATTATTCTACATTTTCATTCTTTTTACAACTTACGAAATTGTGTTAGTCAAAAAAGCTTTTTACATTTAAGCGTAGCATTTTTTGTACAATGAAAGTTATGTGACATATTTTACATTACAAAATGCAGGGATGTTTCAACTTCATTTCGGAGAAAAATGTATTCTAGAGAGGAGAGAGAAAAACTTCAAACACAATGTAACAGCACTACCTTTACAAACTTGTTTTTTTATATTTGAAAGCTATATTTAAGTGTTCTGCCATTATCAGTGTCTGGTAGTAAAGCAAAAGCCATGCAAGAATGTTCTTAATAAAGACATGGGGTAAAATTCAGTAATAGATGCCTGAGTTATGTGTCTTGGAAATTTATTAACAATTACAATTGTGGAAGCATTTGTAAATTTGCACAGTTTCAAGAGAATACCTTTAATGGTTGTGGACTTAGAACTTTTGTAAAGATTCTACAGAAGAAGGACAATCAAAGTTCACAAATGGGTAAAATTAAATATAAATCTGTGCTTGACCTAGTTAAGTTTAAACATATATATTTAAGATCGATTGAAAACAAGTTCTTGCAAGTTATATATTTTAATAACATTGAGTCTGTATCCTGGAACTAACCAGTACTGGTGTCATATAAAGAAACAAGGTTGTGACACCCAAGTAGGGCTCGAAACCATGATACCTAGGTTGATAGGCAGACACCTTAACACTAGACCACCGCTCCACTGTGCTCCAGTTATTGGTCTTTGGAATCAATCTACCATTACCATTATGACCTCAAAGACAAATGCTCAAAGTGAATATCTTGCTTGAAAAATAAGGATATGAAAATATGCAAGTAAAACCTTCAGCCAAAGTGTTGCGCTGACCTTAAGTTGACTATTCTTTGGATAGTCAAGCATTTATCTTTCTTAACTTTCTTTTTCTTAAAATTCATAACACTTGTAAATGAGGTTCATCAAACAAACAGCAAAAACATACATTTTAGGAACAAAATAGTAATATGTGTATTATATGTATATCATTTTATTCAAACTTCAAAACAAAAGAAAATCATCTAATTTAAGAATATACATCTCCAAAATATATCTTTTAAATATAGTTATATGTTCAGCTTGTGCAATTTCATATGTACCGAGTGTAATATTAAAATATATTTTGATACAGTACATTTAAAGAGTATGTTTACATATATTTGAAACATCCCATAATTATGATAACATGGAAAACAACAACAGACAAACAAACAACAAAACTATAATGCTGATATAAAACATTGAGATAACTTGCACTGTTTCTG